AGAAGGTAAATCACAGAAAGTCCCTAGAGAGAGGGGAAAGTAAACTGAAACGTAACTTCAGGTAAAAATTCCTGATAACAAATTAATTAAAATAACTCTAAGTTGAAATATCTAAAGAAAGGAGAAATTGAGAAGGAAAAATGCTGGGAGAATGGAAAGAAAATGAGACAAGGGTATGTAATATATAGTGATGATAACAGAATGGGCAGACAGTTTCTAACTGTGCTGGTGTAGCCTTATACAATATTAGAGTACTTGTCTCTCCTTGCACTGTTCTGGCACAGGCACTGTACACTGTAGCATTCATCTCTAGCCACTGTTACCCGAGCTGTACTGACAAATCTGAAGAAATACAGGGAAAATGAAGAACTACTAGAGACACACTAGCAAAGAAATGCTGGTTAAAATAAACACCCCAAAACCCGCCCCTAAACTCAAGTCCTAATCCTTCTCAAAGTCTGGGGCTTAGCTTCTCCTCTTCCACTTTTTGGTTCTGTGCTGTAACAAAGCAGTTTCTACCTCTGCCACTCAAATTCATGCAAGAACAGCTCTGCAAGCAGCAGAAGATCTGTACTCCATGCACATCGCAGAATTCATGCACTAAACATGATTAATAACTAAAGTTTGTTTCCTATGGCTGTGATTTCGAGTGTGGAAAACAGCTTTGATAGTGTCTTAAAATTATACTGGAAAGACTGAAAAAGTGATCTCATTGGTTGTTTCCTAAGTCCATAATCATTATCTATAACAAACTGATTAAGGCATTTTGCAGTCGGATCTATATGACTAAGGAAGCAATTGTCAATGTCAAATCTGTGTTTGTTGGAGAGGTGTTTTTTTCTGTAAAGAATGAAAACCTAAAGAGCTTTCTGAACTCAGAAACGGATCATTGCAGGCACTGGAGTGTGGGGGAGAAGGCAGAGTTTTTAGCATTCTCTCATGTATACAGGACACAAGAGAGACTAAATAAAGAGACCTTTGTGCTAGATAATAAAGTCAGTCATTTTCTGAGGTAAAAACCCAAATGTTGTTAGACCAAATACAAAGAAATGAATAAAGCTGAAGTTGACAGTAGGTAAATACTTGGTTTCCTGAATTCCGTACAATGTTGAAGTGTCATCATCATTTCAGATGGATACAAATGAGGAGCAAATTAATATAAATCAAGATCTTTAGCAGAAGTGAGCTCAAGGTTTTATATGAACACTTTGATGTTTAAAAGGCTCCAAAGGCCATTTAAAAGGTCTGGAAAGAAGGTTTTATCACTGAAAAATGGCAGCTGTGATGAGGGTTTCTATTTTATTCAAGCAGAATTAGATTACATATGAGAAATTCAGTCTCTGTTCACTCTGTGTTACGTCACCGTATGGCTGGGATTACCTTAACATAGTTACAGATGATACTCCAGCAAAGAATGTTTTGGTTTTAGTAAGTATTGCATGGGAGTTTTCTTCCGATTCAGATTCTTTAATTTGGAAGTGTGATGGTCCTGTGATTTCAGCCGAACTTTCTCAACTAGCAAAGTTAGAAGCAGCTTTCTTCTCTCTGCAAAAGGGGTATTGCCTAGAAACCAGCACAACACAGAAGCAGATTTGAGGTCATAAGTGCGTACTTGAGTGAAGTTTCTTTCTAACTGAAAGAAAAGTGCTTTACTTAATTGAGCTTGGTTTATATGTGCTTACCTTTTAGCCTCTGCATAAACCACCTTTGTAAGGCAGGAAAGTTCATACAAATAGGTGCTTTCCTGAACTTGTAACCTGAGCATTTTAGCACCAACACACTTTAACTGTTTTGAACCATTATTCATAGATCTCTTTAAAAATAGAAATTTAGTGGAAAATGGAAAAAGAAGGTACTTTTTCTGTGAAACCTATTGGAAAATTCTGAACTTCTATGCACACCCGTTGTACTTGTTGAATGTAGATTTTTCTCAAGGAAAGGGCTTGCTTTGTTCAGCCCATCTAAGGTTGAAATGTTGCTGTGTCATTTTTGATCTTGAATTTAACACTCATAACACAATCTGCTTAGCAATGTTGTGAGGTTTACATATTCTTTATGCTGAAATCATTGGTGTACATAAGCATACTTGTGCTTTTCTTTTGTGTTTTGCCTACATTCTGGCTGTTGCTTCGTACATTTGTTTTGTGTAATAGCCATACCTGCCTCTAATTTTTCCTTAATCCAAAACTTGAATTCTTATAAAAGTTCTTGTCTGAGCAAGTCTTTTATGTGTTATGTAAAATTTACACTTATAGTGAAATATTTCTTGTAATCGACAAAATTTGTGTCCAACTACAAATGCTTATTCAAATTGTTCCTGAAGCATTTACTATACAGCGTTTACTTAGAGATTGTTGTGGTACTGAATTCAAAGAACAAGTCCTTTGTATTACATTTTCTCATAGTAGTATGAGCCACATAAAAGAACCATTACCTAATATTCTTTTAAACAGAAGGTGACTGCATTGTCAAAGACTGCTGGTGAGTAATTGCAGATAGTGTTGCCAGATTGTGACTAACTGGGTACAAAATTTTAGATTAAATCACTTACAAACTAGTAATGAGTTTTCAATGCAGCTTTTTTCCTGTATTCTAAAATCCTTAAAATGGACTTCATTTTGTATGTGCACAAAGTATATCTGTATTTATTTGTAAACAAATGCAAAATGGTGTCTTTGAATATAACTGTTGCTTTTTGGGTTTGGGGATGATGGCAGCATTATTCAGAAAGATCAAAAGGAAACAAATAAGTAAGTGATCAGATTCCACAGAAGAGAATAAAGGAAACTTTAGCACAAGATGTTGGTGTTTACATAGTAACTTTGTGTAGCTGTTGGATGTTATATACTTTCTTAGAAGGCTGTATCTCTCTCTCCGTGAATGTGGGGTCAATAGTGTTGAATTTTTGTGATTACAATGACACCTGTGCAATATATTTTTTTTCTTTCACTGTAGAATTCTCTTACATGTGATGAGAACATGTCTGGTAGGAAATAGTGATGCAGATGAAAGACTTGCATTAGTATTTTCAATATTTTTATTTTTTATGAAGACAAGTTTATTCAAAATTTCAGGTGATGTGAGTGGTGTGAGTTTTTAAGGTGTGCTCTGAACTTGTTTGCCCACGTTCATTCCTGCTTTTCCTTAACTACTTTTGGTTCTGAACTGCCACTGGGCACTTTGACATACTGCCTTTCACTTTGAACTGGTTAAAGATCAATTCATAGGTCAATTGCAGGTCCTGGCTTTATTTACCAAAGATAAATATCAGGGTATTATCAGCCCCCCAGATGCATAGCAAGGGGGATCCCAGGTGTATCTCCTAGTTTGAGGACACAGCTCTCCTAATTCAATCAAGCACTATGTTTGAAATGGGAAAGCAAAGCTTACAGTTACCGCTTTTGGCCATAATCATCTCTTAAGACTACAAGGTTACAATAAGTAGAAAGAAGAATTAGAAGTTCAGTAGAAATTATGATCAGAAATTCATCAGAAAACAAAAAATAATGTTGTGAGGGAGAAAGAAGGAAAACACTTCATGTCTGGGCTCATCTAGTGTTTTCAGGAAAATTTCCTACACAGATCTGGCCAAATCCTGCAGTCATAACGTGGGATGGAGTGTGAGCTAGAAGGGCCTCTGACCTGCTGGGACTTGCAGATAAACATGCTGGAAGAGGATGCCCCGTTAGGAACAGTCTCACCGTGACCCAGTTGATATTTATGAAGTGCATAATTTTCTGCCTCTGAGCTTGTGCGCGCCAGAGATTTCCTCTGTGGTCCCAGGATCCAGTGAAGTAGGAAAGTTGTAGGATGTCACTGGGCTCAGGTTCGATGCTACAGGGGCACTGCTTCCTGGCTGGGTTTTGTTTAGCACCCATGTCAAACTTCGGTGTAGCATAAAAGTCAGCCCCAGAGGGCTTACCTGGGAGCCCTTGAAAAAGAACTGTTCCCATTCTGGAATCTCATTTTAATTACTTAAAAATTATAACAATCTGAAATGGTTTGTATTTTGTCTACTATTTGTGCATTTCTTTTTCAGTCCCTAATTTCATGTCTCATGTGTGAAAAGGTCTGGGCTCAGAATTTTGCAGCTAATTAACACCAGTTAACTACCTGGCACAAACCAATTCTATCACCAGTACTCTGGATGCTAACACTGCTCTAATTAGACCTGCAGTCCTATCCTTTCTTCTGGTTGCCATCTCTGTGCTAGAAGATATTTCGGCAGCCAGTCATTCTTCACCGTAGTCACTATCTGGATACAGCCAATATAATAATCTATGTGCTATGTCCTTGTGAAGTAATGTGGTGATCTGGATTTCTTTCCTAATGAATGAGCATTTGTCATGTAAAAGTCATCCCTGAGGAATTATCTTGTGTAAGGAATTAGTGCGGCTGAAGAGACATATGGCACACAAAAGAGATCCTGTTAGAGCTCAGGTGGGGTACATTGCAATTTTTCCCTATTTGTTACATATCCTAAGGTGTACCAACAAAAAAGCACTCAACTTCTGTGCGTCTGTGTACCAGTCTAATGTGGTGAATGTTCACTGGTTTTGTAGAAGAGTGCTACAGATCTTTCACGTGTGAATGCTGGTAGCTTAGAGGGAAAAATAAGTTGAATAAAAAAGCAGTGAGAATTATCTCTTCATAGAGTTTTACTTTGTTAACATCACAGAATATCTGGTCACAGTGTTCAGCTACCTGGTAGGGACCATACACAAATGGCTTCTAAATTAATGGCATTGTGGTTGATTATTTTTTTTTTTTCTCCTCTCTCTGATCAATCTTCAGCAATACGTAGCTATGCAACTTCTTAATTGAATGATGCTTTGATTTAAGATCATTGTAACCTTTATGTTCTTCAAGATGTTTTTTGATTGCGTTGTATATAAAAGAAACAAGTCTGAAGATAAAAATAAATTGGACTCTGGGTTACAAAGATAAATAGCAAAATTGAGTCTTTGTTTCTTTTTTTTGTTGTTGTTTTTGCATCCAAGGAGGCTTTTCGATGGGAGGTGGAATGGCAATGCATTTAGCATATAGGTTTCATCAAGATCTGCCAGGAGTTTTCGCTTTGTCTAGTTTTCTCAATAAAGACTCTGCTGTTTACCAGGTGAGTGTGTGGTAGACCTTACAGAAGAACTGCTTAGGTAAAAGGAAAAAATGATAATCAAAACTGAGTATAGCATTTTTATTAATCTGAGGCAGTTGATTAATATTCTAAAGTTATGATATTTTCTAGAAATAGATAAGCAGAGTAGTAGGGAAGTGAGGCTTTAAAGTTGTCCTTACATGTTGTTTGGTTGCTTTTTTGTACAGACAGTACAATTATTCAAAGTCAGCATAGAAGGCAGATTAACAAATTAAATACTTTGCAAGTTGTCCTTAGTTGTTAGAGAATCAATGTAAGTGTAACTATTCTTTGAAAGTTTGTGATGAATTATAATACTCATGGGCTCCATCTACTGTCATGAATTTTTTCTATTTCTCCTGTTTAGAGAGGGATATAGACCTTAAAGTAAACCCTATCATTTGTCAAGAGTTTGCACACTGGAATTTGAAGTGCAGGCCTTTTTCCAATATTTCCTTGTTTGCTTTCGTAGAGATAGTACAATATGACCACAGAAATGGAGGTTAAAAAATGAAATGTTATGTAAATTGTCACCATGTAATAGTAACTATTGCTTTAAAATTTTTAGTGATGTGTCTGACAGTGTTTCTTATCCATCTAGGCTTTGAAAAGAAATGAAAGTGTTCTTCCAGAATTATTTCAGTGTCATGGAACTGCTGATGAACTAGTTCTCTACTCATGGGGTGAAGAGACCAACAAGATGTTAAAGTCACTGGGAGTACCAACGTCACTTCATACTTTTCCAAACCTTAATCATGAGTTAAGCAGAACTGAAATAGAAAAGCTAAAAACTTGGATTATAAAGAAATTGCCTGTTGAAGTAGCAAAGACAAATGAATAAAAGAAGATGCAGCTTTCATATATTTTCTGATTTTTATGGTTTTAAGGTCATGTATGGCATGTATATGGGTGTCCCATATACATTATAAAAGCACAGCTTCAGGTAGAGGCTGTTATATTCCATAAAGTTCAGTTAAGTGGTGAAATGATGGTGCTGACTATTAATACTGATTTTATCATATGGATTTCTTTTTCTGTTTTCTTGTCCAGTTTTTAAATACACACCCACTTCAATCTATGGAAAATAATGACTGATAAATATTAAAAACATTCCTAAATAATGAAAACAGCATTCAGGAAGCTTTTGGTTTTGGTGTGTGCTTAGAGATGGAAAAATATTCAGTGGTAAGGTTGTCTTTCTAACAGCATTGCAGCAGAAAAAGGCCAATCATTAAAACAATGAACTTTTACTTTTAGAAATACATGCATATGTTCAAGTTAGTTCACAGAGAGGAGCTGTGTTGGCTTCAATTGGATTCTTAGCACGTGGGAATGAACTTGCATCAAAGCAGAGTTGTACGTCACCTCAAAATGAACTGAGGTTTGTGTTATATTTTGAAAAGTCATAAGCACCTGTGTCTAGCTATACCACAGGCTTTTGTTATTACCCATCCTCATTGTTTTGTTACTCAGAGATCTAGCTTTATGTGAGTTGCTTGAGCCCTCTATGCTTTATAGTGTAGGTTTAAAAAAAAAAAAAAAAAAACATCCAGACTGCCACAACCACGCTTTCTTACTGTAGCCAGGCTTTACGTGAAGCCCAACAATTTCTCCACTGTAAACTCTGGTGTATCTAGTGGTAGCTACATCAGAGTGAAAGGAAAATCATGGATGAGTACAACTCAGATATTTTCAACCTCAGGTAACATGGTGGTGTTAAAAAAAAAAAAAAAAAAAAAAGGAAGAGTGCCATCATGATTGTTAAGATCTATCCTGTTTTGAAGAAATCATTTCTTGGGCACTTTTCCTGTAGAAACTTATTTTTGCCAACAGTTTTCTTTGGCATTCAAGATCACATTTTAAATTAAAAGATGAGGATACTTGACTCCTCTGTGAATTTTTGAGAGTTGTAAATAATGATTGTGATATAAAGAAAACTTGTATCCCATTATTTTAATGGTGGATGATTCATCTCTGTGTCAGTTTGATAAATTAACTCAGAGTATAAATATCTCTTCTTATGTAATTTTAATGGGTTTTTTTGTTTTCCCCCCTCTGTCCCATATTCTCCTCCCCAAATTCAGTAATTTTATTAGCATGACAAGGTATTCAGTCTTCTGCCAAAGTCAATAGATCCAAGTCTCTTGCTTAATCTTCTCCTTCCCCCTTTTCTGAAGAGTGGATCTAGGACACTGTTGTTTGCTCTGTCACAGCAGATTGCTGCCAGTGTTGGCTATGGCTCCAGAAGTGTCGGCCAACTCCAGGGGACTAAGTTCTGCTCGAATCCTCATGCACCGAGACTTGAGCCAGCTTCTACCTATCTTGAAGAATAAGCAAAGGGGAAAAAATTTCACTGTTCAAGTACAAGGCATGTAATTGGCAGTAGCAAGTAACAACTTCCTGCTGCTAAAAATATTTTGCTTTATTTCATTTTGCTAGCATTAACAAGTCAGCAGTCTGTTCTGAAAAACAGGATTTTAAATGGCACTTGAAAACTCAGCTATTTGAAACAGTAACTGAAAAGCATTTTTTCCTGGTGCCCTAGGCTTCCTAATTACTACAAATTAAATTGAAACAGGTGTGTTCAGAGGCAGCTGAGCTAACATTGCCTTGGCCCAACTCTAATTACAGTCCTTGACAAGTGGAGTTCTAGTGTTTTATCGATAGTACATCATTTTGAGTTTTGCACCATCTTCTGCTCTTCCTGCAGTTCCTATCAGGCTATTTGAACCACTAATGCAAGGTAGTAATTCATTTTGGTGACAAGTGCATTCAGATGAGGAAGTGGTGGGCTTCTGGCAAGGTGGCTTTTAACAAGGTCAGAGAATAGCACATAACAGTTGAAATAAGATCATGGAGGGAATAGAAATTATTACCAAGCCAAACCCAGTTCTTTTGATTGTTTTTGCAGTCTCAATAATTGCAAATGCAGTGGATACAGAGTTTGTTTTTGTTCCCCTGATATAGGCTGAGAAGCAATTACAAAGGTCTGTGTTTTATGACATTCTCAGAGAACAGTGAAGCCCCCATTTTGCATCTGTTTTCTTCGATCTTCCTCAGCTTGTGAGTGAGATGCCAACTAATTGTGACATGAGATTGCAAATCTGTTAGATACATGCTGTAAAGGGGTCCAAAATCTCTAGAGTTTTGGGTCACTTTTGTGATGTTAGATAACGTCTCTATTTGAGTTTTCCTTCAGTCTGCAGGTAGCTACAGTGATGACAGTGTGATTCGCCTAGCCCGTTTGCTGAGGATGGTGTGGCTCTGTGTCCCAGCTGGTGCCTAGCTCGAGTTGGACAAAGAGATTGAAGTTTAGCCCAGAAAAAGTTGGACTGCTGGTTGGTATTGAGAAGCAGCCAGAGGCAATATTAGTTCTTGAAGACAGTGGGCCTGCTGTTAGATCTCTAGTCAAATGAAAACTTTAATAGTCAAAATTAGCCCAACTGCTTGACAGCATGTTTCAGAAGTTATCCAGATAGATTTTTGACTGACTCCTTTTTACTACACTTAAAAAACATTCATTTTCAAATTGATACTGGAGCACAGGGTAGGGGTTCATTTGCTGAAAGGGCAGTTCGACAATGCTTATGGCAATACAGCTCCAGGATGTACCTTTTAATTGCTGGGTGAAGTATGAAGTACTTTGTAGAATCTTTAAGGATCAGGAGTTCCTTTTTCAATAACTAGTGGCATGTTGTTGGGACAGAGTTACGGCAGCAGGTATCAGGGCGTAGAGTCCTGAACTGGTGTTATGTCTTGTCAGTTCTGTCTAGATTTAGATGAAGAGAATGCAACTGCTTTCATTCATCCCTAATCTTTCACTCCTGAGACCTTTAGGGATGTTTACATATCATGTGAAGGTGTTAAGGATATAGATGCCACATCCTTGTAGGAGGAGCAAGCTCAGGGCTCTGGGGTTTTTTCTTGTACATAGGCTTCCTCCTGTTTCTCTCTTACACATTGAAGGAGAAAAAGCATATTTAAACATACAGTCCTGTACATCATTTTGAGGAATAAATTGCAAAATTTCAATGCCAAGCATGGATCTGTATCTCTTGAGAACGGAAGATATGAGCCAGAAAGGCGACAGCTCTGTGCTGTGCTGACCCGGAGGAGGCAGGTGCAATTAGTTGGTATGCTGTTTGTATTCCTACTGTAACTCTTTCAAGGTCAGTTTATTGGTTGGTTTTTTTCTTTCAAACTGAGAAGAGTTTTGCATTTAAGTACAAACTTGAAATATCATTTGAAAATATAACTGAAATAACTAAGTGGGTAAATCCATTCAGATTGCTGTTGCTTTGGAGCTTGGTACTGTTTTGTTGAAAAACACAAGTCAGTAAACCAAAGAAAACTAGTTTAAATTAAACTTTCATTATCTTGGGCTCAGTTAGTGTGTTCCATACTGCTTCAGAAACATAGCACTAGTGTTTGGACTCTCTTTTTTTTTCCTTTCTAATTTTCTGATATTACACATTTGTACTTCAGCTGTTTGAAATCTGTGACTAAATTGTTGCTGTGAACCTGGGTGCCTTCTGAGTAATTTATGTGCTAGTACAGATGTATAGAGCCAGAGAACAAATGAGAGTAAGGTAGAAATCAGCTGATCAATGTGGGAAGCCAGAAGTCATTCATAACATAACTTTGACATTAAGGTAAGAAGTTCTGTACTTAAATTAATCTATTTTCATGTTAAATCTTTAACTCTAGCTTTTTTAGTAAATCATCTCTAAAGCCATTTAACAAGTCTCTACACGTGAAGTGAGCCAAGTGGGTGAATGTAACTTGTATTTATAAAGATGAGATCCAGATGGCAAAATACAGAAATGTGAACCTAGTGGACGATGTTAGAATGAAATTTGTTAAACATAGATGGACGAAATCAATAGGAGTTTACTTCCCAATTGACACACATTCTAGTACAGCTGAGAAGGTTGTTTATGAGGTCTTAGAAGAAAAACCTAATCCATGAGTTTTCCAGCTTGAGTCAACCTTGATTTGTGATGCAGCTGGTTAAAGGTGCTTTAGAGAAAGGAAATAACACAATTACCAATTGATATAGTTTCCTACTTTTGTTTGTTTGTTTGTTTTCCAAGCCCCCTTCCATTGTGGGAATTTGATATCCTTACCTAGAAGAAACGGAAGCAGGGAGTTCTATTTTCAATACCAGATTGTCTGCTCAAATGTTTCTCTATACACTGCAATGGGATTTAACAGCATCCTGTTCATGTCTTAGTTACCAGCTGATCAGTAGCACTTGTCCAGCGTGTGGGAGACAAGTACTTTTCCACTACAAAGCTGTAAGTGAGAATATTTGTATTTACAAATGAGAGCCAGAAGGAACAGGCCGTGATTTTCCCGCCCCCATTTTGTACTAGTACAGATTTTGGGGCTAGTGTTAGCTAAAGATGTGAGACACCTGGATTTAATTCCTCTGCCCATCTGAGCATGTTCACCTGTGTGCCAGGCCTTAAAATGTTAGCTACATAGTCAACTTGTCTAATATCTTTTTAGTATAGATTGTATTCATTAGAACAGAGAAGGTATTCCAGATTTTCCCTAGTTTAGGTGAGTATCTGCAAAAGAGTTGTGCCTGTTCTCCATTGTTCAACCGTTGCAGTTGGAAGTAGAGAAGATAGAGCATCCTGCATCAGTTTACTGATCACTGGTTTGAGTAACTGCCTGTGGGTGTGGGATACCAACCTGCACGCTCTCAGGCAGAGGTGAGAAATGAGCCTGTTTGCTGTGTCTTGGGTGAGCGCTGTGTTTACTGAACAGTTAGAGTAAAAAAGAAAAAAAAAAAAGATTTAGAAGAGCCAGTGGCATGGATCAAGGAAGGCCCCTTATTCCCCAGGGCACAGGAGTG